ATTTTTGGCTAAGTATTTAAATTTGTAACATAATTCTGGAACACTTTTTACTCCTTAGTCCTATTTTTATTTTTTATTTGAAGTTTCTCAAATTTGGGATAGCCTAATATCATTTTTAAACTCGTAATTTGATATGTTTTTAAATGTAAATGTGTTCTAATATATTTTTTTAAATTGTATCTGATAATACTGATTTTGGTAAAAATAAAAAATAAAAATCTAATTTGACTTAGGGTTTCACTTTATAATGGAATTGGTTTCATTTCTTACCATGTTGGAAACACCCCTTTTTATATTTATGTAAATTGCATAATTATTGCATAAAACGGGCCTGAGCTGTAATATTTTATTTTTATTTTATTTTATGTGGATATGGTTTTACATATAGATATAGATATATATAATTTTGACTTCTATTAGAGTCCTTCTGCATGCGCCTGTTGTGTCTGCTACGCAAGATGGATCAGACGCTCAACCCACCCCCCCGAAAGGTTTGTAGTTGCTGTTGTTTTATTCGTAAAGCGGAAGTTTGTTGCTAAATTGACTTGGACTCAGTGGATGACAAGCCTTTCAACTGGGAGAACTGGGTGGCGTCGGCGATCACTTTCGCTTTGGAGCTCAGTTATCAACCGGCCTAAACGAAGTGCGCCACGCTCAGAGGAGGCTTTATGATTATAACAGAAAGACTCGGTCGTGACCATGCCGAGTCTATCCAGAGCGCCTCTTTGTCTTTGTTTGTTGATATTGTTGGAGGCAGCTGTTCACTGGGGAACTGGTTCACCAGCTGCAGGTTTAGGTGAGTAGTTCCGACACTTTGCTTTCATTTCTGTTCACTTGCCACACTCTCATCCAAGTCGCGTCTTTATTCCTCACTTGACGCAAATGAGCAAAAACTTGTCTCATATAAGCGCGAACTTCATTTTTAGGATGCCAGACACTTTTAACTGACAAGATTTTGGATGGAGATACGAACGAGGCGTTTGCTTATGTAGATTGATGATCGTTTTTTTATTATTATTACTTTGTTTGCTTGTTTTATTTTTTTTTGTTGTTTTCTTGCCCCCAGTGTTATGTTTGACAGGTCAAAGAAATCGCTAACTCATCCTTCCCTCCGTCCCGAGCAGCTCCGTAGAGCCAAAATATCGGCAGATTACTGCCGTGACACCAAGTCGAAACTACTCTGATAGTATTCCTGCTCAGTTGTTGTTTAGCTTCAGCCTGTAAACATTTACCCAGATCACCTTGTCCCCGCCTACTGTCCTCTTTTATAGTTCCCCTCTCTCAGCATAAATATGAAACTCTTTTATGAAGTCAAATGAATAATTCTCCGTGCGGGGATATTTGTGTTATATATTTATTATGTATTCATTTAAACGAGTAGTTTCACTCTAATAGAGCTGTATTGGTATGCATTTACACTGCATATATAATTTTTTTAAAAAGCATTTTTTTATGTGTCAGTCTCAGATCTCTAAGTGGTGCGTGCCCACATTAATCATGGAAACAAGGTCAAAGTTTGAAACAGTGAGGTCTGCCTGTGTGCAATTAAAACCTGTGAGCTAAAG